CTACACAACCACTCCCCGATCCACGTCTCCTCTCCCTTCCTTCTCTCTTTCCTTCAGCTCTCTCTCTCTCTCTCTCTCTCTCTCAGATTCTCCTCCTCCTCCTCCTCCTCCTTCTCCTCATCTTTTTCTCGTCTTGTATCGGGTGCTCTACCCTCCCATGCTCTGCTCTGCTCTGCTCTGCTCTGCTCTGCTCTGCTCTGCTCTGCTGCCTCCCTCGCCTCTCCTGCTACCTTGAGGAACATCGGGGCCTGGAGGTGGACGAATGGAAGAGGAACGAACTCCGTGATGCCTTCAGCCCCGTCAGTCGCAGAGGAGGAGGACAAGTTCAAGACCTCCTGTCCTCGCCTGCGCCACGACGATGACGTCATTGACCTCCCTCCTCGCATCTCACGCTCACCTGTAGACCTCTGATCCTCATGAGATGCCTCGCCCACGCCCTGCACGTCCTCAGCGACGTTAAGAGGAGGGGGGGGGAGGAGGATGGAGGAGGAGGAGGAGGAGGAGGAGGAGGAGGAGGAGGAGGAGGAGGAGGAGGAGGAGGAGGAGGAGGAGGAGGAGAGGGGGGGGTGGGGAGGGGGGGGGAGGACGAGGGGAAGAAGGAAGAGATGTGGCCGTCAATGACTGATAGGAAGAAGTAGGTATCTCAGAGTTTGCAGAGCAAGAGCGGAGAGATTCATAATCAGCTGTGATAGTGCTTGAAAGGAAGCGAACTGTTGTGATTTATGCTGTCCTCGCTATCGATAGCAATCATCCGTTGAAATCCAATCCAACAATGTGATCGAAAAGAAACTTGCGAGTTTGAAACGAACTCCCGCACGCGTTTCTCACGCTCTTCAGCAGGGCAGATGGCATCCGACGCCCTGGCTTACGAGAACCTGCCTTTTGATGACAAGCTGAGGATTTACTATGGTAGATGCCGAATCAGATTCGCAATGCCGCCCTGACTATGGTTTGACCTTGAAGGAAAGCTGTTCCCTTACGATGCCATGTTCCAATGGCTATCTTATTCTCCTGCGGAGCAATCCAATGATAGCAAGAGCGAGGTCTTCGCGAGGAGGGAGTTCTCCTTCACCCTAGCCAATGATGTCTACATAAGGTCAGTGTCTTTGTGCCATCAGCTCCTGCACTAAACACTGACTCGGTTCATCAGATATTTGAGTTATTCTAGCGCACAAGAATGGAAGGCGGGTAAACAGATCTCAAGCTGATGTTGGGCCTGCTGTGACAATCTCGGTGCAGATATGATGAAGAAGCTCCCGCACAAGATTGATATGGGTGCTGTGTATACAAAAGAGCCCAACCAGAAAGCGTATGTTAGCAAGGATGCCTTCAAAGAGGTTCGACACATCTTTCTTTCTTTTTTTGTTTGATTTGCACCTCCTCAACTTCTTGACAGATGTCGAGGGAGTTTGTTCTCGATATCGATTTGACAGACTATCAAGACGATGGCACCATCAAGACGAATTGCATCGATCCCTCCATTCCAGAATTCAGGGACAGCTGGCGTTTTATGGCGGTTGCAGTCAAGGTCCTGGACACGGCGCTGAGAAACGATTTCGGCTTCAAACACTTGCTGTGGGTTTTTAGTGGTCGTCGTGGTATCCATTGTTGGGTTTGTGATGAACGAGCGCGAAATTTGTCAGATCAAGGGAGAACAGCAGTTGCAGAGTATCTCAACATCTTCAAGGTGAAGGTGGTTGTAGAATTCTAGTAAGGTGCTGATGATGGTTCAGGGAGGCGAGAAGGAGAAGACCAAACTCACGGCAGTCGGATTCAACATGCATCCCATGCTCCAAAGAGCATATGAAAATGTGTTGCTGCCCTCGTTTACCAGACTGCTCGAGGAACAGGGCTGGTTAGACGACGAAAAGGCAGACGCGACCCTGGATTTGATCGGAGATTCTGAAGTGAAAGATATCCTGCTTGACAGGGTAAGTTGCTTCATTTCTTCGTTAAGAAAGCCAGACACTAAGTGGGATGCAAACAGTGGAGTAGGAAGAAGCGAAATGCTGCAGAGCGGTGGGAAGATTTGCAAAACGAATTGAGGAAAACGGCGAAGAAAGGTAAAATCACTCGTGCCTGTTGTTGGGTTGAACTTGTATCCAGGACCTGGAGGAAAGAAGGCCAGCCAGGTGGAGGAGACGATCCGGTTCTTGGTGTTTCGCTTCACATACCCTCGTCTGGATATCAACGTCAGCAAGATGATGAATCACTTGCTCAAGTCGCCCTTCTGCGTTCACCCCAAGACTCAAAAGGTTTGCGTCCCCCTGGACCCTCAGAATGTGGACGAGTTCGACCCCGTCGAGGTTCCGGTCTTGGATGAGCTCCTTCGGGAAATGGATCGCTCAACGTCGCAGGACAAGAACAACATCCAGACATCGTTGGACGGCTACGTGAAGCTCTTCAAGCTCAGGTTCCTCCGACCATTGGCTATCAGCATCAAGCGGTCAGCCAACCAAGACAACCAGTCTGAACTCTTCTAAATCTGTAAACTCACCCAATCCGTTCTTAGCCTTCCCTCTTTTGTCATATGCGATCGCGATCAATCCACTCCTGCTTGGTCGATTTGAATGTGCCGACTCCTCCAGCACCGCTGTGTCCTTCTGCCGTTTCTCTGCTCCTCTCGGCATCGTTCAACTTCCACATGGTAGAATCAATGCACTCACGTCAGCCTGTTCGCATGAGGTGGATCAACGAGATAAGGATAAAGAGCAGGAGAAGCAGTAGGGAGAGACCTGCTGCTGCTGCTGCTGCTCCTCCTCCTCCTCCTGCTACGTGTGCTGCTAAACTAATCTAAAGCATTTTTTGTACTTACAATGGAGATTTCAGTGATCCCTTGCATATGGACCACCCCCGCGTTCATACCACTACCACCCCCATAATTAACCCTACCCTCACATTCCACCTTAAATAGAGATCATTTACTACCATATATACTGCATGTACCCCTCCTTTTTATCCCAAAGGTGTCCTACACCCCACCATTATGTACCCCTACCACTTATTTCGGAGGGTCTCCGGCTTCCGACCCGTCTGCTCCGAGAACAAGATACCTCTGTTGCGGAAGAGGGAGGGAGGGAGGGAGGGAGAGGGAAGGAGGGAGGGAGAGGGCGACGGAGACGACGACAGAGACAGAGACAGAGACAGAGACAGAGCGAGGGAGGGGAGGGAGGGAGGGAGGGAGGGA